GGAGCGGCTCCTGGCAGGCTTCTAGGATGGCAAGGGGGGCATGTCTCTTGTCCCACATCGTGTAGGGGGGAGTCCTGGGCTAGTTTATAAGGCTTGGGTTCTCTACTCTGTGTAACGCGTTTCACACAAGCTTCCGCTGTGCTGAGAACAAAGCCTTGAGGGGTGGGTCTGGCCTGTGGGCTTGCGCCCCAAAGAGGACAATATTGGGCTTGGGAGAGGAAGGGCCAGAGAGCGCCTCTGCCCAAGACAACGCGTTTTAAAGCCGTGAGGGTCAATGGGCCCAAAGCGGACAATATTACACAGTGTAGACCCCGGGTCCTTACATTACCTCTTTCAATATCAGCTTGCATCAATTGTTGGTCTTAATCTCAACACTTCGTATGCCAACAATCTTCGACGAGCCATCTTTACCCATTCTCACGAGACCGAAATCTCCAACTGTATACGAAGAGAAAAATTCTCTCTTGGGGACTACGTGAAAGGAGGCTCCAGAATCAACTAGCCAAGTGGTGTCCTGGCATGTTAAGTTAATGCTCTCATCAGTGTGGATAATCATCATGTCTTCATAAACTGTAGTGACATTCGCAACCGGTGCTTCAACTTGCTTCTTGGCTGCCTTCAATTGACAATCTCTAATAAGATGTCCAGTTTTTCCACAATGAAAACAAACCCTCTTCTCAACCCTTGGCCTTGAGATTGAACGATCTTTAGGTCCATGGCTTTTGTTCCTCTCACGCTCTACTTTCTTCCCTTGTTCATTTATAACAAGAGTTCTATCACCAATGGTTGTAGTAGCCCTCATCTTTGCGCCTTTGCTCTTCACTCAACAATCTGTCTTTCACTAACTCCACGGTCAATTCTCCATTAGGCGTGGAATTGTGAATTGACACAACTAAGGTGTCTTAGCTTTTTAGCAGAGAACCTGTTAGGAAGTGTGTATGCAATTTTGGAGTGATCATCCTTTCCATTGCATTAATTTGATTCACCAGACCTCCCATAGTGCCTATGTGCTCAGAGACACTGGTTCCATCTTTGTACTCCATATGCGACACCCTTTTTATCAGGCTTGCTATGTTTTGAGATGTATTCCTCGCGTATGTCCGCTCTAGATTTTTCCACAAATCATAAGCATTGTCTTGTTGGGTGAAGTTTTCAAAGATGCTTTGATCGAGCCACCTTTTAATGGTGCCAACACATCTTTTGTCGAGGATAGTCCACTCATCCTCCTCCTCTTCTTCTTCTGGTGCTAATATCGGGGATTTTGAGGATTCTTCTCCTTCCTCTCCAATTTTTGCTGATTTAGGAGCTGATGCCAGAGTCTTTACCATGCCCTTTGGAGGCATTCTTGTCTTGATTGGCCTTTGCAAGCCCTTGATGTAGAGATGATCGTCCATCTTGCACCTCCATATTGCATAATTCGTAGCTATGAGCATAATCATGTTGACCTTGTCTTCTGACATCTTTTACAACTCTGCTCTGATGCCACTTTGTTGTAAATTAAGTTGGATCGCAATTGATCACAACGGAATTATAATTGTCAGAATCGCGCAAGATGTCGCCGTATATTCTCTTTGCAGAAAAAAAACGTAAATAACACAGCAAAAGAAGAACGATACACCATAAGCTTTTAAATGGAAAACCTAATATGGGAAAAACCACGGGACGCTGATCCAAGAACTGTTCCACTATAATCAAAGGATTGCAATTAACACTCTAACGGTGTTTCTCTCACAATAAATCCTCACAATTGTCACAATACACATCATCACTTGATGAACTCTCATGATCTCTCGTGTTTACGCACATTGTTGAAGACTCTTGTGATTTCTTTGGAATATTTTCGGGTGCACACAGAAACCTCCACCTAAGCCCTTTTGTTTATAGCGGTAGATCTCCACCCAAGTTAAGAATCCTCCCTGATTGATTGAAAATCACCTTGTAATTAGAAATCTCCCCGATTGATTGGAATTCTTCTAATTAGGCAATCACTAGAATTGATTCAATCCTGGTATTCTTTCTAAATAAGATTTCTTATTTAGATTTCTTTCTTGTCAGCGTCCTACCATAATAGGACTCGTTCCTATTAGGTATTCTTGATGAGCAATCTTCGGGATATTTCAAATCGATTCCCGAACATGTTGGGCTGCTCCAAACACATTTTCTCCACCTCCTTCAGACAACTCTTACTGGAAGCGAAATCTTTGGAGAAGATGGGTATACATATCTCCGAGTGCCTGACAACTTCGAAGATTTTGGGCATGATCTCTTCTACGATCTCAATCCCATCATAATCGATAAATGCAATGATTCCTGAATCAGCGAGGCCTTCGTAGAGAAAGTCAATGAAGCCCCTCCGAACATCTCCGCCTCTGAAACTGAGGAAGACATCGTGGCGGCAAACATCGGGCTATCTAGGAGACAGAAGGGACGGTTGGTTATTGCAGATATCCATGAGTGAGAAGCTCAAGAAAAACGTGTAAAGACCAGGCCTTTCGTCGGACGGGGGACAACTGGGAGATCGCTCGAGGAAGAGAACAAGCTAACAGACCTGCTACGGTCTAGGAAGCTTACAGACCAAAGCCATGGAATCTTGACTTCGGGTAAGGGTATTCCAACGTGCAACCCGAATTGACATCTCTCCGTTAATATATTACAATAAAGCTTTACCGTCCATTTTTTAAACTATCGATCAGATTACCATTATACTTCGTAAAGTTACTAAAGCATATACTAAACATAAGTAATTTCTCATTTGTAGTAGAGTATTTTATATACAGTGAAAACAATTATTTGTATATAAACATGTTATTTCTAGTAATATCTCCTCTTTACAAGTGTAATATTGACGAAAATTAATCGACCAAATCAAATAAGGGTCAATTAGCACCCTAAGAAAAGACAAAAACGAGAGAAAAAAATTAAAAAAAGAGAAGATTTAAAAAGAAATCATAACAGCAATTTATAAATTTGAAAATTAGAGAGGAAAAAAAAAAACCAACAAAGAGTTGCTGGGCAGTGGCAATCACTGCCAACTCTGGCGGGGAACTTGACCCCGCTTAAGATGCATGTAAGTAGTTTGAATAAGTTTTGGGACTCCTAGCTCGAAGTTATCTTTTTGATTGGCTGGATGAAATGAGTTTCATAGCTAATCCAACCCAACCCAAGTAACATGATTCAATACGTCCAAGAGGACTTGATTTGGGGATATAACGCTAGATCCACATGTTCTTGGCTCGTTTCGTCTTTAAGTCCTGTAGAGCATTCTTGTAAGGTGTCTTGCCTAAGATAATGCCGCAAAATATTGGTTTTCACGTGTTGCATGCCTCATCAGAATATGTTCATGTTATCTTTTTTCCAAGATTCGCGAGAACCTATGCTGCACCGACACCGACACGCGACACGACATGACACGCCGACACGTCATTTTTCAAAAAGTAAAGAATTCCGACATGTTGGGACACGTTATATATTAAATGTATATTTTTATATATACATGATAAATTATCATTTTTTTAATTATTTTAATCAAATTAATTTAATATAAATTCACAAATAAATAAATAAATAAAATCAAATTAATTTGATAAATTATATATGACATATTTTATCATGCCATGTGATATAGTAAAAATTCCTTTGTTTGGCCATATATATTTTTCTCTTGGAATACCCATTTTCGTTTTTTTCCTCCCAGTCGTACTCTACTGTAAGGGCTCCTTACTGCCCACGTGCCACAAAAGATTACCTTTTCTTTCCCCTCTCTCACCCTCTCGCAATCAGACGAAGAAATCGCAAATTTCCTCCTCAATCCCACCATTTTTTATTTTCTGCCCGTCTAGTTTTTATCATTCCTCTCTTTCTCCATCAATTTTAAAAAGCTTTTAAGAGGCTATCGTCGTCGTCCACGCTTTTGCTTTTCTTTCCCTAGATTCTCCTCTCTTGACTCTATCTCGTTCTCTCTCTCTCCCTCCCTCCCACTTCTCCGATCAGATCTCCGGCAGCTCTCGCCGCGAAAACTCCGATTCCCAGATCCCCCACCTCCCCGTTCCCCATTTCTTCGAGAGGATTCGTCGTGGGGTTCGCAGCATCCGAGCCTCGATTTGTGGAAATTCGAAACAACGGGTACTCGCTGTCGAAATTCCCAGATCCCCCACCTCCCCGTTCCCCACTTCCAGATCAACGGGTACTCGCTGTCGAAAGGGATCGGGATTATGCGGTATGTGTCCTTGTTCATTGCTCTGGCGAGCGAGAGATCTGATGATGGGGGCTTTTCTTTCTTCTTTCTCCCTTTTGCTCCGGACTCGCGTGTCGCCGGCGTGTCCGGCGCGTTGACCGCGTGTCGGATCTCCAACACGTGTTGACTGCGTGTCCGAGCGTGTCCGCCGCGTGTCGGGCGAGTGTCGGTGTCCGACACCGACACGGTGGCCTCCGGAACGTGTCGGTGCAACATAGGCGAGAACCGGTCGGAAATGGGGAAACAAAGGAGGGGACAAACAAAGAGCATCTTCGGGAAAGGGAAAGAGGGAAGGTAGCGTGGCTCTCACTTCGTCTTCTCTCTTTTGTGCACTGTGGGTTTTATTTTCCTTTGAAATTTCCTTATCAGTCTCGTAATCTTCAGTACTCTTAGTCGCTTACATCAACATTCTCACGTCACTCTATAATGCGTAAACGGGTGATAATCATCGTATATTTTAATATTCTTCGAATAACGGTGAGTTGAGAATGTTATAAAATGAGTAATTTTTCTTATATCTTCGTAAATAATTATTTTTTTTGGATCTTCTTTTCTCATAAATTAACAGCTCAGATTGAACAACTGACAACGCAAATCTGGACCGACCAGTTGACTTGAGTATTCTTTACAAACCCAGGTGGAGTGGAAACTGGACGACGAGAGACTGAGGTGAAGGCAGAATCAAGTATGGCTGACTCCGCAGGCAGAAAACGGAGAAGAGGCGGAAGATGAACCAGCGAGGCTGAATCAAGAAGGTTGAATAAGTATGGCTGAATACGCTGGCGATTATCGGAAAAAAGGCGAAGATGAACCAGCAAGGATGGATCATGGTGAAGGGAAAAGTAGTGAAGATGAACCAGCGAGGCGGAATCAAGTTAAGATAAAATTAGAGGCTAAATCAAGTACGGCTGAATACGCTCGCACAAAACGGAGAAAAGTTGAAGTTGAACCAGCGAGGCGGAACCAAGTTATGACAAAATTAGAGGCTGGATCAAGTATGGCTGAATACGTTGGCACAAAATGGAGAAAAGTCGAAGTTGAACTAGCGAGGCGGAATCAATATATGAAAAAATTAGAGGCGGAATCATCGTATGATGTGTTCTTGAGTTTCAGAGGATGCGATAGTCTTGGATTCGCCGATAGCCTCTGTCAGCACTTGAAAGCTGACGGAATTCGCGTTTTCATATATGACGGAACCCCATCTACTTCCAAAGAGCTTCAGCTATCGGTGTACAGCTCCAAGATCTACATACCTATCTTTTCCGTAAACTACGCTGATTGCCCTCGGTGCCTTGACGCACTCACACTCATGGTAGAACACACGTCTAGATCAGGTGGGAAGAAAGAGATCCTGCCCGTTTTCTATGATGTGAAAACATCACTACCCTACAGAGACGCCCTGAACTCGCACAGGCTGTGGGTGGCCGCTGAGAAAGTCGAGACCTGGCAGAAGGCTCTTGTGGAGGCTAGTAAAGTCAAGGGATGGGAACGAAGCTCATATGAAAGGTATATTACATCTGTCTTCTTCTTCTCTCGTAGGTTTCTTCTGATTTGTCAGCTCAATCGACCAAGGTATTGTCGAGAATGTCAGAAAAAGGAAACTCAACATCCTTTTTCCAGCAGAAGATGCAAGTATTGGTCGACTCTGTTGTACTCTTAATTGACCCCGCTTACACAACATATCTCAGTTTGGCTCAGTGAACTCTCTTTAAAAGTTCATACTATTCATCCACATGGTCACATCATTCTGTATTTCAAAATATGGTCGAGTGATATTTTTTTCCAATGGTAATGGTGACAATATAATCAGTTGGTCGGACTAAATACTTGCTGCAATGGCATTATCTCTCGATCATACAATTACTAACCATCAGTGTAGTATGTTTAATAGATCTTTGAATCAGGTAAATCATGTTCTGCAGTAAAGGATCAGTGATCTTTTAGCACATTCACATTGTCGTTTCATTAAGTAGTGCATTGGGTGGTAGGTCCTCAGATCATATCTGTTAATGATTTGGAACTGAGATTTTTTTTTGCCTGGGCAGTGAAGGGGCACTTATCTCATCCATCGCTGGAAATATTTTGCATAAGCTGATGATGAAGCACAATTATATGTTTGAAGATCTATCCACTGGTGATAACCCCAAGATATCTTCCAGGATCTCGGTATATTTCTTTGCTTCCATTCTCCTCTCTTCTCGAGTACTCTCTCCTAAAGATTGTACCTGTTGATGAAGTTAGTTTCACCTAAAGTGGGTTCTACATCACCTAGATAAAAAGTCTAATCACCACGAAATATTTTTACATGATTATACAGTTGTTGTAAAGTTAGAATATAATAGAAAGAGAAGGCAAACACATGAGCTGAAGCTCCAAGAGAATGCAAGTCATCGTCCGAACTCTGAAGTAGCTTGCATGTACTTCAATTTTTCAGTAGCTAATTACCCTTGCACGGATAGAATCCACAGATAATTGTGGGACAACTCTACACTTCTTAATTATCATTTGTTAATTTCACGATAGATCATATCTTGGATTAGCGGTTTAATGGTCGATGGGAGTAGAATAGCTGGATTTGTAGTAATTGTCGTTTTAGATCACCATAAAAGATATGTAGCTACAGTATTCTTTTCTACTGATGTTCACAATATTAGTAATTCGAGAATACCTCCTACCTTTTATTTGTTAAGGAGAATTGATGCATCAAAACTGAATTACGAAAACATTACTATCAGAAAAAATTTATAGATTATTTTGTGTCTTTTGTATTTTCTAGCAATAGCCACATTGTTTACTCAAGGAAGCACTGTTTGAAAAGCAACTCTATTGTAGTAGCCAAAATCCCGTAATTGCCTTATGAAACAACAAATTAATCTTTTTTCCTTATCCCCACAGCCTTATGCAACCGCTAGGGTTAGACCCAATCGCACGACACGTGCTTGTCACCAGGATAAGTGTGTGTGGATCAAACTTAGCCTCCGTTCGTTTCGCGGAAAATGGAACATTTATGGAAAATATTTTCTAGGAAAATGACACTATTTTCCGGTGTTTGGCTAAAACATGAAAATGAATTGGAAAAAAATTTCCGTCGTTCGGTATGGAAAATATTTTTCTCCATACACTACTTTTAATAATTTTTTTAATTTTTTTAAAAATAATTATAATTATTTTTTAATTAACTTTTTAATAATTTTTTTATTTTTTCTTTTCCTTTTCTTTTACTGCTCAAATAGTCATAGTTATTTCCGACGAAAATGGGCGGTGAGGTAGAATTGGCCATAGTTTTGAGTCGGAGATTTAGGTGAGTGATTTTAGTATAGGGTGGTTAGGACTTAGGAGACATGCTCAAATACCAACTGAACGAGGCACTGATATCACTATTAGTTTTTGGTGTTGATGTACAAGTGTGTACGTGTGTTGTACTTGGCAAAGAAACGACAAGAGATGCGTGTATGAGAGTGGACTTGCACGGCAAAGGAGCACATTGGAACAAAGGGAAAAGAAAAGGAAGAAGGAGAGCTTAGTTGGTTGCTCTTCTAAGTATACATGCTTCGGACGACCCCAAGCCTTTTTACAGGCTTCAACCGACTTAAACATACAAAAATCTCTGCTCAGGTCAGGGATTTTTTTCGTTTCTTTGAATCCTTGCAGATTTCCACCGCCAGAGCTTTGTAAACCGACTTACAAGGCAAATATATCTGCCATGTTGCAGAGATATTCTTAATTAATTCTTCAACACAAGCTTTAGTGGACTTTAGACACTTCCACCACCGCCCAAGGATTCGATTTTTTGTAAGATTTTTCTGGACTTTTCAAGCATATGTCTACCCTAGAAGACTCTGGAAATTGGACCAGTATTTTAACAGCAGAAGCAGTGTGTGATGGGATCGTTCAAATTATGTTTGTGCTTTCTTCCTCTTTCTGTGGCATTAAATTTTAGTCATTACAGATCTTGAACATCTGAATGAGATTTCAAGGTAAACTCCTATTGCATTAATCCCTGCGGCAACTCGGAGATGGTCCCTGATAAGGCTGGTAGTTACTTTTCTGTGCTTCCTTTTCAGACTATGAAGGACAAAAAACAGGGTATGGTAGTCAGATAAGGCTTTTTGATGCTTAGTAAGCCAGATTTATTTGATACATTTTTCCATAATTGAGACAGCGGGTTTATTATCGTATCTTTAGCTTAAATGGGATGCATGGGGTGAATGATTGTGTTGGAGGAACTTCAGTGGAGGTTATATTCCACAACCTATTTACTCTGTCGGCTAAACATTAGTTACAACATCTCAACTAGCAAGGCATATGATTGATTGGCAGGCACATTCAAAGCACATGTTTCAGAGAATGGCCTTATCATCTGGAACTTACAGTACCTCTATATTTTTCTTCTCCTCTAACTTACATTCTGCTAAACTTAAGTACCTTCATAGGAGCTTCAAGACAGTCAAAAATCGGAAATAATGAGATTACTGGAACTGGAAGTGAGCGATGTACGAATTGTTGGAATCCATGGGAGAGATGGCATTGGAAAGACTGCTCTTGCCAAGATCGTATATGACCAAATATCGCTTCGCTTTGACTCTTGCAGTTTTCTTGTGGAGATTGAAGAAACGACGCAGCAACCTGGTGGTGTTCAGTATCTTCAAACCAAGTTGATCTTTGATATTTTGAAAAGAGAGCATGAGATTGCTTCTGCTTTCAAAGGAGTACGATTTTTGAAAGAAATATTTAGGAGTATGAAAGTTCTCATTGTTCTCGATGATGTGGAAAAGGGGTCACTCCTCGAGGAGTTTGTAGGAGCTAAGCTTGATTGGTTTGGTTCTGGAAGTAGAATAATCGTCACCTCAAGAGAAAGCAGAGTTCTTAAAGGTTTTGTTGCTCGAGGGATGGCTCATACTTACAATGTTAATCCGATGGATGATAATCGAGCTTTCGACCTTTTCTGGCAGCATGCAATGGGAATGAGTTATAAACTACATCCATATGTTGAAATTGCAAACAAAATAGTCAAGGCTGCGGAGGGACTTCCACTACTCGTAAAAGTTTTTGGTTCTTTTTTGCATGGTAAAGGAACAAAAGAATGGATTAAATTCAAAGATCTCGTCCAACAATTTCAGGAAGATTACCAGAAGATTCTGAGCATAGTTTATGAAGCATTAGATCAAAAGCAAAAGCAGATGTATCTTGATATTGCATCTTTTCTCCCGGATGTGGATTGCAGGATTGCCTCATATATATGGCATGATTATGATCGTCCTCACGATGAAATCGAGGTCCTTCATCGTACGTCCCTAATAGAAATGGAAGAAAATAAAATAGGCATGCACAGCATGCTAAGGTGCCTTGCCAGGAAGATTATTTACGAAAGTTTCCATGATCCAGGAACACGGGATAGATTCTACATTCCTGCCATAGCCCACGACACGAAGAAGAGGAAAAGGGTATGTCGGGGAAAAAACTAGCATGCAGGCCCTAATTTGTTTTTCCATTTCCTCGAAAAGGTTTCATATATGAAGCATTTTCTTTACCTCGTGATCCATAGTAAAAATTTCATCGTCTGGAGACTTCCACATGTTTGTCTAATTGACTTTTGTGGTCTATTGTGCAGGGAACAGACCACCTTAACACTATTATGGCAGGCTTTGAGATCCTACCGAGCACGACATTTCTCAGCTTGGGTTGCGCCAATATTGGTGAAAGATTTGCAGATGTCCTATTGAATGTTCGGTGGCTTCACTGGCAAGGGTGCCCTCGAGATTTTGGAGCAATTACCATTCATTTAGGCAACCTAGTTATTCTTGATCTTTCGTGGAGCAAAGTTACCGAATCCTGGGGAGGTTGGAAAGGAATTAAGGTGGGTTTATAGCTCATTTAATTTTGTGTTCGTGTTGGCTCTAAAGTACATTTAGAGTTCTACTCCATCTGAACTTTTTCCGTTATTTTGCAGATGGATCGTTTGAAAGTCTTGAATCTTACCGGTTGTGCGGACTTATTAGTTACCCCCAGCTTCTCTTGTTACCCAAATTTGAAGATACTGATCCTTGAGCGATGTTCACGATTGGTTCATTTAGATTCTTCAATTAATGATCTGAAGCTCTTGGTTACCTTGAATTTGAAGTTCTGCTCTGAACTTAGCATGTTGCCAGTGGAAATGGATGGGATGAATGCTTTGGAAGAGCTCCTGATTGATGGCACTTCCGTACGAGAACTTCCTGCATCGATAGGAAAATTGGTTCAACTGCAAATTCTTAGTGCCACTAATTGCTTCTCATTGGTTCGGCTTCCCAGTTCAGTTTGTGAACTTCAAGCTCTTTCAGTGTTGGCCTTGGATAACGCGAAAATTCTTGAACTCCCGGAGTCAATTGGAGACTTGGGAGAACTCATACGCTTGTCTTTGAGGGATTGTCATGGGCTAGGAAAACTTCCGGAATCCATCGGAAAACTAGAAGACTCATTAGTAGAGTTGGACATTTCAGGTACGGGTATTTCGAAGTTGCCTGATTCAACTAAAAACCTGCAGAGTTTGAAAGTGCTGAAAATGGATTCATGTTTCATAAGAGAATTTCCTCGTGACATTGGAGAGTTGACAAACCTGGAAGAAGTACATGCCTCCTGGTGCAGGAGTTTGGAGGGAGTCATTCCGCGTGGTATTTCAAAACTACATTGTCTCAAGGAACTGAGGCTTCGAGGTACTCGTATATCCAGCCTTCCGTCAGAAATCCAATTCATGTCAAGTCTTCAGACTCTGGATTTACTACACTGCGACGTTCTTGAAGAGTTGCCTCCCCTTCCCTCTAGCCTAGTCAACCTCTATGTCACTACTGGCCACTCTCAATGTACGTAAAACACGATTGCTGAGCTTCCCTCTCTCGCATGAAGAGCCTTCCTCTGCCCTTGGTGGTAGCTTCCTTCCAAGACCCTAAACCCTAAGTTACTGTTGTTGGGATTTTTCAGCGAAAACATGCATGGGTCAAATTAATTTAAAATCGCAGCGGAAGTAAAAACCATGCATTTCTTGTGTCTCAAAAACATTTTCGCGCATTTTAACAAGAAGCACTCAGAAACGAAGAGGGTTAATCACATTAACCTTGTATCGTGCGCAAAGCAATTTAGTTATAAAGTTATTCAATTCCAGATCATAGACATCCGGTCTTCTCGTAGCCGATTTCCTCATAGCATGCCTAAAGTAATATGATTCTAATGTTCTTTAGTTCAAGCGAATCTAGTTATGATGTTTTTTAGTTCCAGCCCCACAAATGTCGGATCTCTAGTTCAAACACACCACTAATCACGCGTCGAACAGTAGAGAGAAATTTGAGAGATTTTCACAACTTTAATTGTGCTAGCAATTGTTCTTGTGTGTTAATCAAAATGATTGATCTAAATCATCACTTTTGTCAATCTCAGATCCAATTTATTTAAATCAATTCGGCCATTAACTCTGATATCGTTTCAGAGCATTAATTCGACCGCTGAGTTTGAACCTGTTTTAGAGTATGAATCTGGACGTTGATTCCTAAACCGTTTTAGAGCATTATTCTGGGCATTACCTCCACAACTGTTACAAAGTATTATTATAGGCATTAACTTTATAACCGTTGCAAAGTATTAATTCGGCCTTTAATTTTGAAACCGTTTCAGATCATTAATTTGACCATTGATTCTTAAACCGTTTCAGATCATTAAACTGATCTTTGATTCTTAAACCATTTCAGATCATAAATATGTCTATTGATTTTGAAACTATTTCAAATCATTAATTTGGTTATTGATTCTGAAACCGTTTCAGAACTTTAATCTTGGCCGACTCAATCTGATTGCCTAAACTTGCAAACACATTTGCAATATGTCTCTTCCGTTCAAAAGTCATTTCGAATTAGTTGTGGTGCGTGACATCCCTAGATTCATCATTGAGCTAGCAGTAGGACTTGTACTAACACATTAGTACAACCAAGAGAATTGATTGTCCTGATCAATCTCCAGGTCCTACAAACCATGAGTGACATCTAGAAATATGTCATGGCTATCTAGATAGTGTGAATATTTTAAGAACATAATGAATCTGTCAGCTTTGACTACCATGTAATTCAATCATTCCGTCTTACTATGTCCCCATCGAACAAAGGCCATGGAATTGTTTCTCAAGCCACCAATTCAATCATATGCACAAACCTATTAGACATGCATTTCAACGAGACATAAACTATTCATTCTCGATTACAACCCCGACCAAGGATTTCAATAGAACGTCACAATTAAATTGTATAGAACATCATTATTGTATCTTGTATATGAACCAACTATGACCATCAAGTACAAAGACGGTTCGGCGAAGTGTCAATATGTACACTTGTGAACCACAGCCATCCAAAATACAAGTTAACACCATGCCTCAAATCTAAGAATTTTACACAAGATCAGAGCCTGAACGATTAGTCATTGGCCTTGCTAAAAGCTTCAACGTTGCTAATTATTCTGAGTATGTCATGTTCAGTGAATTTGTGCGATACAAGCACCTATGTTCTAACTTGGATATCACAATACCCAATGACTTGTGACTCATCATTCCCTTGGGTATCCAATACTCAATGATGAAGCTTGAGAACACACTAGTCTCAACAGGATCATCAATATATTTTCAATGATCCATCGATCGGGAATTGTTTAAAGACTCAATCTAACTTTGAACCTATCACACATTCTTAACACCTTAAGAATAGGTTCAGTCGCAACTAATCTTATGGGCTCATTCATATAAATGAGACAATGAATGAATATGTCTTTGCCATTAAATAAATAATACAACTGAAATCCCTAACATGTAATGATTTCGTCGTTGCTTTAGGGCATATAGCTAACAACTGTTTCATTCCCTTCCCTTTGTTCTTAAACCTCTTTTCTTCCTTTTCCTTCGGATTCCCTTTTCTTTTCCCACCTATGTGACCCTCAAACCGTATTTTCTCTTAAGCTCTTCCCCAACTTGTTACCAAGGGTTTGGATGCGTAGTTTATCTATTTGTGATGTGGCCCTCTTTGGGAAGCCTTCGCTTGCAACGTGCCCTAATTTATGGGTTCCAAGTGGGATTTACCTGAGTAAGTGGTTGTTATTCCCTCTTTGTCGATCCTTGCTGCTGCTCCTGTGCTTGGTGTTTGTCCTTCTGGTCGCCTATCTGCAGTATTTCGGTCTAAAATTTCAAATGAAAGTCTTATGCTGGAACACCCTTGACAGTTCCAGCGTTAAGGGCAAATATTGCCAATGATAGACCCAATGTGGTGTTTCTGATGGAGACTGAAAACCAAGAACAAGTATGAAAAAGCGTTTAAAATTCAGTTTCTGCTTTGTGGTGAATCCCATTGGCTTTCCCCGCTGGGGGGGGGTATTTTGTGGACTGACCAAGTCGAGTTGGAGATAGAATTTGCATCCAAAGAGATGGTCAATGTAATTTGTACTGATGCTCCAAAAAAAGTAATTTGTATTGACCCTAAAAATAAAACAAGAATGTGAATCTCATTTGTGCATTCCGCGAATGATTTTAAGGATAGAATGATCCTTAGGGACAGGTTAAGGGAAGTGAGTTGACTTGATAGCCTTCCTTGGGTTTGTTTAGGAGACTTTAATGAAATCCTTTATGATTGGGTGAAAATAGGAGGACGTATGGCTGACCACTACCGTTTGGCCGCGTTTTGGGATTGTTTAAATGATTGTTCTTTTATGGAAGTAAAATGCAAGGGAAGTGCATATACGGGGGCAAATAATAGAGAATGGGCTCATTTTGTAAAGGAGAAGCTAGATCGAGTAGTTTGTAACTTGGAATGGCGTCTTTCTTTCCCAGGGGCAAAAGCGTGTGCCCTCTTTGCTGTTGGTTTTGACCATTGTCCCTTGTTGCTCTCCCTTATGGAATCAATAGTGAAAAGAAGAAAGGAATTCAGATTTGAAGCATTTTGGGCGGAGGATTCTGAATGTATGGAAGTAGTAACTGAAGGTTGGAGGTCACATTATGTGGAAAATGGAAACTTGTGGAGAAATTGTAACAGTCTGAATTTTCGATCATTTTCCCGGGATTTAAGAAATGAATTTGACCAATACACTATAGTGAGATCTCACCCGGAACAGCGCATTTACGGGATGCTAACCTTAGGGGTAGAGCTATTACGGGATTGAGTTCGCACGACCAAAGAACTCGACCTGGGTTCGATCTTCGACCATATGGATTGACGAGGGAATGTTTTGAGCCAACCGAGACCGGTCTATTTGATTGATCGTGTCCGAAGGGAACTAGCGACAGACCCTCGCAATTATATGACAACCGAGGTCGTCCCGGGTAGAGTAAACTTAAACGTGATTTGACTTGGTGTCGGTCACGGGTCGAGAGCGCGTAATCCCAATGAGCCACCCGTTAGCCAGAGATAAGCTAAAGTCGCGATTGTTCAATTTTAGTCATTTCTTGGAATTCGGGCCCGAGAATCGAGAATTTTGAAAGTGACAATTTTGAGCGGCCGATGACGTTTTTGGCTTGGCCAACCTTGGGGCCACCCATTTCTGCAAAAAAAATGGATTTTGGTTCGGGACCGGAAAAATTACCATTTTGCCCCTCTGGTCACCGACGTTGATTTTGAGACCGTATGAGATTATTTTTCGAAGCCGATGTCATTTTAGGGTGGCCACGCACATTTAGAGTTGTTACGGTCAAAAATTGGAATTTTGGCTCGGAAGTGAAAAATAATATTATTTTAATCCTCAGGACTTTGCAGTCGATTTTTGAGGGCTTAAGAAGCTATTTTCGCGATTCCGACACCATATTATGTTGGCCACACACATTTGGGATTGGTACCGGCAAAAAATGGAATTTCAACCCAGGACCGGAAAAATGACCATTTTGCCCCTGAGCCGTTTTCAGTTTCGAATTTTGGGAAAATATTTGGCATAATTAAGAGTACTTATCAGCTGAATTATTGGACCTAATTACCTTTTTTCCCATCAATTATTTGGCTGGAATGATTATGGACCATTAGATTAGGGGCATTTTGGTCAAAATCGTTGGATCGGCGACACGTGGCCCCCTCTAGCCCTAATATTTGACTAGCTTGGACCAGACTCTCTCTCCTCTCCCCCTCATTCGGCCAGCCCCCCCCAACCGAGCAGCCCCCTCCTCTGCCATTCTCTCTCTCTCGGCCATTCTCGCCGGAGCTCATCGGACCGCCGCCGTGCCGCCGCCGTCCGCCGGTGCTGCTGCTCCGCCTGACCTCACCTCACCGCCACCACCCTTATTCCGTCCGTTCTCTCTCTCTCCCTTGTCCCCGTTCTCTCTCTCTCCCTTGTTTTCTCTCTCGGCAAAGGAACGCCGAAGCTCGCCACCGCCGCGCCGGAGCTCGGACAGCTCGGACGCTCGCCCGCCTGGCCGCCAGCGACCCTGCTCGATTGCTGCTGCTGTTTTGGCTGTCCCCGCCCCTGTCCAGCCGAGCTGCCCTGTTTCTCTTAGGTAAGTGTCTCCCCCAACAACTACCTAGGACCTCGGGTATTTCTAAGCTCGTTTAGGACCCGGTTTAGGCAATTTTGTGGCTGTTTTGGGACTGAATGAGTGGCTGATCGTTTGGTGGTTGTGGACTGAATTGGCGATGAAAATTTGAGGTTTAGGAAGCTCGGGTAGGACTGTGATGTTGTGGCTGGATTGGGGGTTGAATTGTGCAATCGATCGGTGGGATTATGCTATGAATTGAATTGTGTACATGGTTGTGTGATTTGTGATTGTGGGCTGATTTGGATTATGCTTGGGTTGAAGATGGTGCGGTAATGTGCCGTAGGTGTGTGGCCGTGAGGTGTGGTGGTGTGATAGTGCATTCGTGT